TTTTTTTTATAAAAAATTTTCGGGTCAAAAATTTGCGTGATAATATAGGAGTTGTGATTATAAAGGAGGTGATTATAGAGGAGAAAGACTGTATATGTTAAATCTAAGCATTGAGTCTAATAAATTATAAAATTGAAAATCTTAACACTGGTTTTCATTCAGTAATATATCAAAAATTTTTGATAGTATAAATATTGAAATCAAGTCCAATAAAAATCATTATAAATTTTTAATGAAATTTGATAATTCGAACTTGAAATCGACAGGGAATCTGGAACAATAGACCCAAGAGATTTATTGTGAAAAAAAGGCCTATAGAAGATAAAGTATGATTAATCAAAAATAATTAAAAGAAACAATAACCAGTCAAGAATCATGATATAAGAGAATGTGAAACTTATATTTATGGTTCGTTACAAAAGGAATTCTATTACTATTCGCCTAGATAAATTAATTTGGTTATAATAAATCATGTGTTTAAATAGACATTCTTGACTCGAATAAAGAATAACCATATTAAACTGAATGATTCTTCAAATCACTTATCAGTGTGCTTCTTATTACAGCTTTGCACATATAATCTTAATGATTCTAATGTTAAACCTAAAATAGCAAATTAAAATTATTATCAGGGAAAGGGAAAAATAATAAAGCCAAAATAGGTTGATTTCTTGAAAAGAATATATTAATACGTGTAAAGATATAAATGAATTTAGAAGCTGTTTTAAATTTATAACAAAAAAAAATTTTTTAATAACAAGAAAAAAAATGTCTTTAAATAAAAAAAATTAAAAATAAAATACTCTAGCCCATTGTACTTCAAACTAGTTCAGGATAATGAATATACTGACTGAGAAAAACGATTAGATTTTCTGATTTTTTTCACAATAATTGAAAATTCACAATACCATCAAAGATTAAATCTATAAAATGTTTTCCAAACTTTCTAACTGTCAACAAATTTACTGCTACTAATAACTTATACCAAATTTTTTTTGTTGCTTTTATAACATTACAGTGAATCATAAAATGGGTCTATTAAAAAAACATTTGTTAATATATTGCATTAATATTCAAAAAGCAAGAAACAAAAAAAAATGATGATGATGACATACCAATAATTGATCATGTATATGATTTGAAAGATGAAGAATCTGTAAAAACAGTCTTTGAAAAACTTATTAAAAATGCTTACAATATAGGTGATAAAAATAAAAACTCATGTCAAAAATATATCAGAAATTCTGTTCGAACAAGACAACGGAAATTACAAAAAAATTGAATGAATGCTATATGAAGTTGTAAAATAACAGAGTTTTTTGATAAAGCGAATGGTATAAATTTAAATAATGATGAAATAACAGATAATCCTCAATCAAATTATGAAAGTGAAGTGAAACTTAGGCTATAGAAAAATCATCACAATAGGAACAGAAGCTTCAAGAAACAAAAAAATGATACAGCAATTAATCGATACCAATGAAACTTCAAAACCCATAAAGTAAAATATATTTCTGTTATTCATTATATAAAACTTCTTCAAAACAACACACCTAAACTAGAAGCAAGTCGAATCATAGCGCATATATATAATAAGAGTAAGTACTATGCTAGATGTATATAAGCATGGGCCAAAAATATTTGAAAGATAATCTACTACCTCCATCTCAATGTAGAAAATATCCATCAAAATCACTTCTTCATGATGAGTATATTTCCTTAAGAATCGCAAATTATTTACAAGCAACAAAATTTTAAGTAACCCTATGATTAGTTAAACAATATTTTGAGAGAAGCATTCTTCCTAAACTTCATATTAATCGAGTACAGATAATCTCTATAACCACCTCAAGGCATTGAATAAAAAAATGTGATTTAATTACAAAAGGTACCAGAAGGGTGTGTATATTGATGGTTATGAAAGAGAGAATATCGTCATATATCATTAGAAGTTCTTACAAAAAATAAAAGAATATAACAGGTTAATGCCTAAATAGAATAATATCAATTGTAAAATTTATGAAGAACCAAATCTTCTACCTGGTGAAAAAAAAGCATATTCTAATTACTCACGATGAATGCTAATAATGGTACTCGTGAGTTTTGAAGTCCAGAAGAAAAGCAGCTGCTAAGAAAAAAAGTACTTGGAAAAGTGTTTTATATTAGTGAATTTTTAACAGAAACAATCAGACAGTTAAAAGATAAGGAAGGAGAAGCAAGAGTAATAGTAGAAACAGGTGGAAGCCAGGATGAAAATTAGAATGAAGAAAAATTATTGTCTCAAGTAAAAAATGTTATAAGAATATTTAAACGAACGCATTCTGGATATATTGGAATTTGTGCTTTTGATAATACAACCAGTCACACTGTTATAGCATCTAATGCATTAGTAACTGCTAGGATGAACCTATATCCTGGTGGTAAGCAACCAAAGATGAGAAATACAACATAGAATAGAGAAACTCAAACAATGATATATTCAGATAATTACAAAGTGCTATCTTTACAATTACAGCCAAAAAGAATGAAAGCAATTTTTGATGAAAGAGTCTTTTGGAAAGATGGACTACCAGCTAACTGTAAAATAAATAAAAGAAAAAACCCGAATTATAATAGAACAGACTGTTGTGCATACTACCTTATTGCAAGCCAGCCAGATTTTTTAAATAAATGTGGGTTAATTCAACAAGAAATAGAAAAAAATGATATAAAGTATATATTTACTGATAATAAAGTATAAAGATTTTTATATTAAACAATTAAAATATTTACCTTAGATGATATTTTATCCAAAATTCTACCTGAAACTTAACTACATTGAGATGTACTAAGGTGCTGTAAAGAAACACATATAAGAAAATTGTGATTATACATGGAAAAAACTGAAAAATAATGTCCCAATTATGCTTGATTCCATTTCAGTTGAAACAATTAGAAAATATGCAAGACTTTCTTACTGATAGATAAACACATATAGAAAAGGTTTAACCGGTCAGGCAGCCAAATACGCTGTCAAAAAATACCCCAAAGCACTATATTACCAGAAATAACTATAACACTACCTTGCCTTATACTATTAAGACATTAACAAACTCCTAAAATACAATTTTATTTGTGCCAACTAAATAAGCTTTGAATGATCTGGAAATACGTTTTGGTTATTTACAATGCGATCACTAAACATAATTCATAAAAAGATTAATATTTATTTTTAGAATATTCAAATTTATAGATCTGAATCTTTAAGGACACTTGTTATTTAATATTTAATATAAGCATTATATTTATATTTTATTTAAAAAAAATTTTTTTAAGAGTTTATAATATGCATTATAAAAACATTTATTGACTATTTTCAATTAATTCTGCTCTAGGAATCGAACGATGGCTTCTGTATTTTTTGACAGCGTATTTGGCTGCCTGACCGGTTAAACCTTTTCTATATGTGTTTATCTATCAGTAAGAAAGTCTTGCATATTTTCTAATTGTTTCAACTGAAATGGAATCAAGCATAATTGGGACATTATTTTTCAGTTTTTTCCATGTATAATCACAATTTTCTTATATGTGTTTCTTTACAGCACCTTAGTACATCTCAATGTAGTTAAGTTTCAGGTAGAATTTTGGATAAAATATCATCTAAGGTAAATATTTTAATTGTTTAATATAAAAATCTTTATACTTTATTATCAGTAAATATATACTTTATATCATTTTTTTCTATTTCTTGTTGAATTAACCCACATTTATTTAAAAAATCTGGCTGGCTTGCAATAAGGTAGTATGCACAACAGTCTGTTCTATTATAATTCGGGTTTTTTCTTTTATTTATTTTACAGTTAGCTGGTAGTCCATCTTTCCAAAAGACTCTTTCATCAAAAATTGCTTTCATTCTTTTTGGCTGTAATTGTAAAGATAGCACTTTGTAATTATCTGAATATATCATTGTTTGAGTTTCTCTATTCTATGTTGTATTTCTCATCTTTGGTTGCTTACCACCAGGATATAGGTTCATCCTAGCAGTTACTAATGCATTAGATGCTATAACAGTGTGACTGGTTGTATTATCAAAAGCACAAATTCCAATATATCCAGAATGCGTTCGTTTAAATATTCTTATAACATTTTTTACTTGAGACAATAATTTTTCTTCATTCTAATTTTCATCCTGGCTTCCACCTGTTTCTACTATTACTCTTGCTTCTCCTTCCTTATCTTTTAACTGTCTGATTGTTTCTGTTAAAAATTCACTAATATAAAACACTTTTCCAAGTACTTTTTTTCTTAGCAGCTGCTTTTCTTCTGGACTTCAAAACTCACGAGTACCATTATTAGCATTCATCGTGAGTAATTAGAATATGCTTTTTTTTCACCAGGTAGAAGATTTGGTTCTTCATAAATTTTACAATTGATATTATTCTATTTAGGCATTAACCTGTTATATTCTTTTATTTTTTGTAAGAACTTCTAATGATATATGACGATATTCTCTCTTTCATAACCATCAATATACACACCCTTCTGGTACCTTTTGTAATTAAATCACATTTTTTTATTCAATGCCTTGAGGTGGTTATAGAGATTATCTGTACTCGATTAATATGAAGTTTAGGAAGAATGCTTCTCTCAAAATATTGTTTAACTAATCATAGGGTTACTTAAAATTTTGTTGCTTGTAAATAATTTGCGATTCTTAAGGAAATATACTCATCATGAAGAAGTGATTTTGATGGATATTTTCTACATTGAGATGGAGGTAGTAGATTATCTTTCAAATATTTTTGGCCCATGCTTATATACATCTAGCATAGTACTTACTCTTATTATATATATGCGCTATGATTCGACTTGCTTCTAGTTTAGGTGTGTTGTTTTGAAGAAGTTTTATATAATGAATAACAGAAATATATTTTACTTTATGGGTTTTGAAGTTTCATTGGTATCGATTAATTGCTGTATCATTTTTTTGTTTCTTGAAGCTTCTGTTCCTATTGTGATGATTTTTCTATAGCCTAAGTTTCACTTCACTTTCATAATTTGATTGAGGATTATCTGTTATTTCATCATTATTTAAATTTATACCATTCGCTTTATCAAAAAACTCTGTTATTTTACAACTTCATATAGCATTCATTCAATTTTTTTGTAATTTCCGTTGTCTTGTTCGAACAGAATTTCTGATATATTTTTGACATGAGTTTTTATTTTTATCACCTATATTGTAAGCATTTTTAATAAGTTTTTCAAAGACTGTTTTTACAGATTCTTCATCTTTCAAATCATATACATGATCAATTATTGGTATGTCATCATCATCATTTTTTTTTGTTTCTTGCTTTTTGAATATTAATGCAATATATTAACAAATGTTTTTTTAATAGACCCATTTTATGATTCACTGTAATGTTATAAAAGCAACAAAAAAAATTTGGTATAAGTTATTAGTAGCAGTAAATTTGTTGACAGTTAGAAAGTTTGGAAAACATTTTATAGATTTAATCTTTGATGGTATTGTGAATTTTCAATTATTGTGAAAAAAATCAGAAAATCTAATCGTTTTTCTCAGTCAGTATATTCATTATCCTGAACTAGTTTGAAGTACAATGGGCTAGAGTATTTTATTTTTAATTTTTTTTATTTAAAGACATTTTTTTTCTTGTTATTAAAAAATTTTTTTTTGTTATAAATTTAAAACAGCTTCTAAATTCATTTATATCTTTACACGTATTAATATATTCTTTTCAAGAAATCAACCTATTTTGGCTTTATTATTTTTCCCTTTCCCTGATAATAATTTTAATTTGCTATTTTAGGTTTAACATTAGAATCATTAAGATTATATGTGCAAAGCTGTAATAAGAAGCACACTGATAAGTGATTTGAAGAATCATTCAGTTTAATATGGTTATTCTTTATTCGAGTCAAGAATGTCTATTTAAACACATGATTTATTATAACCAAATTAATTTATCTAGGCGAATAGTAATAGAATTCCTTTTGTAACGAACCATAAATATAAGTTTCACATTCTCTTATATCATGATTCTTGACTGGTTATTGTTTCTTTTAATTATTTTTGATTAATCATACTTTATCTTCTATAGGCCTTTTTTTCACAATAAATCTCTTGGGTCTATTGTTCCAGATTCCCTGTCGATTTCAAGTTCGAATTATCAAATTTCATTAAAAATTTATAATGATTTTTATTGGACTTGATTTCAATATTTATACTATCAAAAATTTTTGATATATTACTGAATGAAAACCAGTGTTAAGATTTTC